TTTTACTTTTTAGACACACCTAACATAAATACACCTAAAAAGTAAAAAAATTGTAAAAAAAATCTTTTAAAAATTCACTAAATACAAAAAATACAAGAATTCAGTACATTTTTTTTGTATTTCTATGTATTTATTAATTTTTTTTAAAATATTTTTTGACAAATATTTTACTTTTTAGATATATCTAACTAAGGTGCATCTAAAAAAGTAAAAAAATGTTTAAAATTTTAAAATATTCAATAAAAATAAAAAAATACGAAAAATAAAAAATTTAATTTTCAAAAAATTGAATCTTAAATATTGAAGTCAAACATACTGATTAAATATTTTTTTTTTTTTCAAGTAAAAAGAAGAAATGCAAAGTACCAAAGAGTTGACATGTCAGGGAACATACAAGAGTGGTTCAAGGAACCCAGAATACAATACCAGAAATCAACCCAAAATTTCAAAGCAACGTTCAGATTATTATGAGGTGATTCAATAAATAAGAGTTTAAACACATACCATAAATGTTGAAATCTGTGCAATTTCATGGTCCCAAGACTTTTCCAACAAACAAACGTAGTGATCTCAGTTTACCCCAATGTCATCCCCATTTGTGTTCCCATAAATATATATCTCAAAAAATATCAATGTAATGTTTGGTAGATTTTTTTTTGATAATTGTGTTCGGCCAGTTTATGCACAATCCAATTAATTTCGGAACCTTAAAGTTAATGACTCAGCAAACATTCAGTAATCTTAAAGTTTAAAATAGTTGACTTTGGTGAGATTTAAACCTATGATGATCTCTTGAATGGTGGTAAGTCTTTTAATTACTTTTTTTTTTCTCCTACTAAGTCAAATAGCTTGGGGATATATTAGGTAGACTTTAGGCTACCTTCGAGTGACATAGTGTTACGATGTTGACAGTTGTCCCACGTTGTTAAAATAAGAATTTGACCAGAGTATAGGGTTGTGTTTGCAACGATTTTCAAATTATGATTTGATCTTCATATTTTAATATGATGTTTGGATAGAATGTTTAAATTAGATTTCTATAATATTTAGAAAATTCTGTAGAAAACTCTGTGTGAGGAGCGATTTTTAATTTTTAATTTTTTTTTTTGAAATTTAGCCTAACTGGTCGTCCCATCGGTCATCCGGCCGGTTTACCAACCGGTTGACCAGAACAGTGCAAATTTATTTTTATTTTTTTGCAATTGACATATGTTAATTTTTATATATTCGAAAAAAATATTTTTAAAATTTTTTATGTGCTTTAATAGAATTTTGAGTTGTATATTTGGTTATGAGTTGTAAGTTTTTGTATCAAATATCATATGTCACATCAAAAATTTCTCACTAAATTCAAAACTCTTTTCAAAACTCTTTTACCAAATAAATTCTCCACATTCAAACCATAATTCTAAACTCACAAACTCAAAATACAATTCTTACTCTCAAAACACTTTTTGAATATTCTCTTTTGTTGTTTCTTTTAAAAAAAAAAAAAATCAATACAATAAAGGCCAAGGGCAAGAACAAAAGCAAATACTAATAAAGGCTTCCTCAACTAGGGATATCAAACCCTAGTAGGGAAGAGACCTTAGGGCCTAGGCAGGTTGATCAAAGGTGATGGTATCTTCTTTACCGGTTGCCTAGAGAGTGATTTCTATTCAAAGGATTTGCATCATTTGGTATTAAAACTAGGGCCTGGTTTTGGTCCAGTCTACCATCGGATTAGATCGTACTGTTAGGTACATGGGGGCCTACCACGGGTCCCGTTTTGAAAATCTAAACCGTTCAATGTGTATAACTCGTTGAGTACTATATGGCTGTGAAAAATCACGTTGATCGGATACCAATAGCTATGTGATCAAAACAGTTTTTTATCAACCGTTAATTTATTCACCGTCCATTTTTTTTTATACAAAACTGATTTGATCACATAGCTATCGATATCCGATCAACGTGATTTTTCACAGACATATAGTACTCAACGAGTTCTACACATTGAACAGTTCAGATTTTCAAAACGAGATCCGTGGTGGGCCCCCACAGGCCCAACAACACGATCCAATCCGATGGCGGACTGAACTAAAGCCAGACCCTAAAACTAAGGGGTGTTTTGGAAAGTTGATAAAAAATTAACTTTTGATTTTTTACCAAGCTTTTTGACTTTTAAAAAAAATGATATGGGAAGTTGATAAAAAGCTGAGTTTTGACTTTTTTTGTTAATATTTATTTATGGTGTCAAATCAAAACAAAATGACCAAAATAGCCTTGCCAAACTTTGGAATTCTACACAATTTGTTAACCTAGAGGGTATTTATGTAATTTGACACGGCAACATTTTTATCACATCCCAAATGCAACAATTGCTTTTTTAGTTGGCTCAGCTTTTTTCCACAGCAACAAAAACGCAAGCGTTTTTGTGCTTTTCCCAAAACGGCACTAACTATCACGTTCTGTTTGTAATCACGACTTTGCAATTCAATCCATGAACCAAGGGGTATGTATCAGATGAAGCCCTTTGTTCCTCCGATTTTATTGCATTTTCAACACTCGATTTCATTTTAAAATAAATAAATTATTAATAAATAATTAGACTTAAAGAATATTTGAAATGATTTAAATAAGTATATTTTTTGACTTTTTACGATAAAACTTCAAATATGAATTGGATTTGCAGTGATGTAACTTAAATAAGATTATGTGCTAAAATAGCATGTATTAATTAAATCCTATTGAAAGTTGGTCTTAGTAAAATTGTTGCTAAAAATAATTTTTTGTGATAATTTTTTATACATGTCAATAAAAATTGATAATTAGTGATTTTTTTAATCACGTTTTTTTATCAATTGTCCCTAAAACTTACAGTTACTGACATTTTTCTGTGACGAATTTTTTAAATTGTCATTGTAAATTGAAAATTAGTGACTTTTTTTTTTATAACGATTTTTTTATACTATCACTAAAACTTATAAGTAGTGATTTTTTTGTGACTGATTTTTCAAATTATCATTAAAAATTAACAATTAATAACCTTTTTTTAATAATATTTGATAAAAAATACCGTTAATTATCACTAAATCTATTAAATAATAAATTCACTTATTAAAATTTATACATAACTCTCTCTTTTAATATTTGAAATCAAATTATAAGATTAAAAGTGCATTAAAAACGAGAAAATAGATTAGGGACAAAGAACCTTTGAGGGCTAAGGCTATTATTCCCGGCAAGTTGTTTCACTGGTCCTTTCTTATTTATTTATCTATTTATTTATGGGAAAATTACTATGTAGTCCTATATAGGGGATCTATTTCCCTTCTAATCCCAATATATTTTTAATAAATTAATAGGTCCACAGTTTTTTAAGTTTTATACTCAGAGGTCCCATTTTTTATTTTCGTATTTTGTAAATGACTGTATTACCCTTTGTTTTGAGATCTATATATACGTGAAAAATCAATTTTTTGCTCTGTTCAAAAAAGAAAATCAAATCTTCGCCTCTGCGATCTCGATTTCTCTTCGTTATGGCGATCTCATTGTGCTGTGTGGTCGATCTCATTGTGCTGTGAGGTGGGTCTGGTTGTGCGATCTGAATCTCTGTGTGCAGGCGATCTCTGTGTACATTCTCTTTCTCTCTCTCTCTCACTCTGTGTATCTGGTTTGCATCTGTCGATACATATATATATGTGTATGTATGTATTTGTCGATACATACATATACATATATATATATATATATATATATCTCTGTGTGTGTATGTGGTTTGTATCTGTCGATACATATATGTATGTATATATAGATAAGCAAATTTGCGTGATATCTGGTTTGTGTTTGGCAATGTTGTTTTAGTTCTTTGTTTTGTGATAAATTTTGTTTGTTTGATACTTATTTTATTTGATTTTTGTATGTGATAAAGTGTAATAATTTTGATTTTGTTGATTTTGTTTGTTGTATAGTGTAATGTGTTTTGAAGTTGTAGTTTGGAATTGTGAATTCTGGTGTTTTGATACTGATATGTTGTAAATGTATAATTTTGCAGTTTGAAATTGTGAATTGTGCACTGTTGGTACTAATATGTTGTAACTGTATAATTTTACAGTTTGGAATCTGTGAACAATTGTTTGTTGGTTTGTGATTTTGTAGTATGGAGGGGTGTTTCATGTTAATGTGCAAATACAATAATTGTTGTGCTGCTATTAAGATTAGTGAATGATGTAGTTATGATGAAGTTGTTGAGAAAATATGTGCGAAGTTCAAGGAGTTGAGTGCTGGTAACTTTTGTTTATTTTTTTCTATTCCTCGATATTCTAATTGTATTGTTGAATGTGATGATGATTTGTGGAATATGCTGTCAATGGTAGGTGGTAGTGGTTGTCATATTGTTGATGTTATTGTGGGTGATAAGAGAATTGTGGAGGTTGATGATGGTAATTCTTGTAGGATTGATTCTGTAATTGGTGAGAGTTCTTCGGTTAACGATTGTGATGATTTTGGTGGTTTGTTGCGTAGTTTTTATCCAGAACCAGAGAGAGTTTTGTTGTCTGCTAGTTGGAAGGGGATTATACGTAGTGTTGGTCAAGAATTTGAAGGTGGAGTGCTGGCGTTCCGCATTGCATTGGCTAAGTATGCAGTTGAGTGTGGTTTTGTAGTGAATTATTTGAAGAACGATGCAACAAGAGTAACTGCTGAATGTATGATAAAGTTGTCTACGGGTTGTAAATGGTTTGTGCATGGAAGGGTGTTGATGAATTTCGGTATTTTTTTTATAATGAAGTTGGATAATGTGCATACTTGTGGGGTTGTTACTCGTAGATCTTGTAGCAAAATGGTTGGTTCTAGACTTGTGTCTGATATTGTGCAAAATGATATTAGTGATAATCCGTTGACTCGTCCTATTGAAGTTAAAAAAAAAGTTGAAGAAGCAATATGGTATAGATGTTTCTTATCAGGTTGCATGGTTAGGAGTTGATAAGGCAAGAGGTGGGTTGTTTGGTGATTTTGCAACTTCTTTTGACCAACTTCGATGGTACCTTGAGACGGCTATGAGAACGAATCCGGGAAGTGTGTTTGAATTAGATGTGGATAA